TTGAATTGGGGTTTTGGTATTCTTAGGATATAGTCCCAACAAGGGAACTGCTGGGCAAAAAGGCAGTTCCATTTTTATTATTTTTATGGAAATTCCATATTGTTTTCCACAGTGGCTGCACGAGTCTGTATTCTCACCAACAGTGCACTAAAGTATCCTTTTCTCCATGTCCTACCCAGTACTTGTTGTTTGTTGATTTATTAATGATGGCATTCTGACAGGTGTGGGGTAATACCATATTGTGGCTTTAATTTGCAACTCTCTGATGGCTAGTGATGTTGCACATTTTCTCATATGTCTATGGGCCATCTGTATGTCTTCTTTGGAGAAGTGTTTACTCTGTCCTTTGCCCATTTTTTAATTGGATTTTTTGTCTTTCTGGTTTTGAGTCACATGAGTTCTTTATATATTTTGGAGCTTAAACCCTTATCAGATGTATCATTGGCAAATATGTTCTCCTATACAGTCAGTTCCCTGTATAGCTTTTATCTCCTTTAGCTTTTTTTTCCTTTATTTCCCTTGCCCTAGGAGATATAACAGCAAAAATTTTGCTACGTGGGATATCTGAAATTTTACTGCCTGTTTTCTGCTAAGACTTTTATGGTATCCTGACTTATATTTAAGTCTTTTATCCATTTTGAGTTTATATTGGTGTATGGTGTAAGTTGGTGGTCTAACTTCATTTTTATTTATTTTTTCATGTATCAGTCCGGATCTTCCAACACCATTTATTGAACAGACTATTTTTACTCTATGGTATGCTCATGCCCCCTTTGTCAAATGTTAATTGACCATAGAAACCTTGGTTTATATCTGGGCTTTCTATTCTGATCTATGTGTCTGTTCTTATGCCAGTACAAGGCTGTTGTGATTATAGTAGCCTTGTAATATAGTTTGATATCAGGTATTATGATCCCTCCAACTCTGTTCTTATTTCTCAAGATTGCTGTGGCTATTAGGGGTCTCTTTTTGTTCCATATAAATTTTTGAAGTGTTTATTTTAGACCTGCAAAATATACCATTAATATTTTAATAGGCCTTGCATTGAATCTATAGATTGTTTTGAGCAGTATGGACATTTTTATGATGTTAATTCTTCCAATCCTTGAACATAGTATATGTTTCCATTTATTTGTGTCTTACTTAATGTCTTTCTTTGGTATTCTATAGTTTTCTGAGTTCAGGTCTTTTATCTCCTTGGTTAACTTTATTTCTAGGTTGGTAATTTATTTATTATTTATTTATTTACTATAGTAAATGGGACTTGCTTCTTAGTTTCTTTTTCTGATAGTTCATTGTTGGTATACAAAAATACCCTTGATTTCTGAATATTGACTTTGTATCTCACTACTTTGCCAAATTCATTTATTTGATAGTTTTTTGGTGGAGACTTTGGGTTTTCTATGTACGCTATGATACTGTCTGCAAATAATGACAGTTTTACTTCTCTCTTTCTTTTTTGGATGTCTTTTATTTATTCTTATTGGCTGATGATTGTGGCTAGGACCCCCAGTACTATGTTGAATAAGAGTTATGAAAGTGAACACCCATTTCTTTTTCTTGATCTTGGAAACACTTCTGGTTTTTGCCCATTGAGTATGATGTTGACAGTAGGTTTTCTGTATATGGCCTTTATTATGTTGAGGTATGCTCCCTCTATTCCCATTTTGCTGAGTGCTTTTATCATTATGGGTGCTTAATTTTTACCAAATGTTTTTTTCTGCATTTATTGGTGTAATCATGTGATTTTTGTCTTTCATTTGGTTTATGTGACGGATCACATTTACTTATTTGCAAATTTTGTACCATCTTTGCATCCCTAGAATAAATCCCACTTGATCATGGTATATGATCTTTTTAATATATTATTGGATCCAGTTAGCTAGAATTTTGTTGAGGATTTTACATCTATGTCCATCAGAGATAATGACCTGTAATTTTCTTTCTTTGTTGTGTCTTTTTACCTGGTTTTGAGATTTGGATAATACTGGCCTCGTGAAAAGAGTTTGAGAGTCTTCCCTCTTCTTGAATATTTAGTATAGTTTGAGAAGGATAGGTGCTAGTTCTTCTTTGAATGTTTGGTAAAATTCACCTGTGAAGCCATGTGACCCAGGGCTTTTGTGTGCCAGTAGTTTTCTGATTACTGGTTCAATTTTGCTAGTTGTTAGTCTCTTCAGATTTTATACTTCTTCCTGATTGGGTTTTAGAAGAGTGTGTATTTCTAGAAATTTATCCATTTCACCCAGGTTGTCCAAATTCTTGGTATATAGCTGTTCATAGTAATTTCTTGCAATCTTTTGTATTTTTGTGGAATCAGTTGTTACTTCTCCTTTTTCATTTCTTATTTTATTTATTTGTGTCCTCTTTCTCTCTTTTTTTCTGATGAGCCTGGTTAAAAGTTTGTCAATTTAGTTTGTCTTTTCAAAGAACCAGTTCCTGGATTAATTGATCCTTTTGTTTGGCTTTTTTAAATTATTTTATTTTATTTTTTTTAGAGTCTATATCATTTGATTCTGCTCTGATCTTGATTATTTCTTACTTCTGCTTGCTCTGGGATTTGTTTGTAGTTGTTCCTCCTGTTCTTGTAGATGCAGAGTTAGTTTATTTATTTGACATTTTTCTGTCTCCTTTAGGTCAGCCTGTATTGCTGCGAACTTCTCTCTCAGGACTGCCTTTGCTGTGTCCCATAGGTTTTGGGTTGTTGTGTGTTAATTTTAATTTGTTTCCAATACTTCTTGACTTCTTCCTTGATATCATTGTTAACCCATTCATTATTTAATTATATGTTATTCAGTGTCCATGTATTCAAATGTTTTTGAGTTTTTTTTCATGGGGTTGGTTTCTAGTTTCTAGTCATTGTGATATGAGACTATGCTTGATATGATTTCAGTTTTCTTGAATTTTTTATAGCTTGTTTTGTATCCTACCATGCGGTCTATAGTTGAGGATAATCACTGTGCACTAGAGAAGAATGTATATTTTGCTTTTTGGATGTGAAATGTTCTGTAAATATCAGTTAAGTTCATTTGATCTAGAGTGTCATTTGGTGCTGCAATATTTTTGTTGATTTTTTTGTTTGGAATGCCTAGCCATTGTTGACAGTGGGGTGTTAAAATCCCCTACAATGACTGCATTACTGCCTATCTCTTTCTTAAGTCCCCCAATATTTTCTTTATATGTTAAGGTGCACCTTTATTAGGTGCATATATTTACAAGAGTTACATTCTCTTGTTGGACTACTCTCTTAAGTATTATGTAGTCACCTTTTTTGTCTCTTATCACTTTTGGTTTAAAATCCATTTCATCTCATATAAGTATTGCTACCCCAGCTTTTTTCTAAAATATCCATTTGCATGGAACACTTTTTTCCATCTCTTCACTTTCAGGCTGTTCTGAGATTTGTCATGTTTTCTTATCCTTTCAGCTATCTTATGTCTTTTGATTAGAGCATTTAATCCACTTACATTTAAAGGTATATTATTTTGGCCTAAGTTTATGCTTATTAAAAACTGACATGTATAAACAAAACCTAACAAATAATATCCCAATGAACACATCACTTTGAAACAGTGCCCTTGAGAGACATCATCATCATGACCCCCTATTCCTCTGGCCCAGCCACGTCCTCCTCCTCTTCCTCAGCCTTCATCTCTTCCTGTAACAGCTCCTCTTTTCTTTGATTCTACCTTCAGTTCAAATCCACAAGTAGTGAATCCAGACATAGCTCTCTGGCAGAATAAAATATGAAATGTTATTTCTTCAAATACTCATTGTTTCGAGCTGTAGAAATTCTCAGTTCCTTGGGGTCATTTTCACAGCTTTAAAATGAGTATGCATGCTGACATCTACACCTATGTTTGTTCCATGGGCCTGTGTTCCACTCTTTAATTCAATGGTTACAGTTTCATGACTCAATTTCACAAGAAATCTCATGAACTTCATTCTAATGGAGCCATCATCTTTTTAGTCCAAGAGTGCACAAAAAACAACAACCAAGGACCCATGGACTGTAGTATGAATGGCCCCAAATGTCCAATTGACTGTAGTATGAATGGCCCCAAATGTCTACTCCCTAAAGTTATTATTGATAGGTGTTTATTTGTTGACATTTTTTCCCTTTGGACCTGTGTTCCCCTCTCTCTCTCTCTCCCCCCCCGCTCACTGTTTCTTCTTCTTCTAAATCAGTTCTTTGATCATCTCTTGCAGTGCTGGATCAGTGGAGATTTACTGTTTTAGCTTCCTTTTGTCTAGGAAACTCTTTATTTCATCTTCCATTTTAAATGAGAGCCTTGCTGGATAGAGCAGTCTTGGTTGCCAATACTTGCTTTTCATTACTTGGAATATTTCTTGACAGTCCCTTCTGGCTTGTAGTGTTTCTGTTGAGAAATCAGCTGATAGCCTTACTAGAACTCCCTTGTACATTGCTAGCTATTTCCTCCTTGTTTCCTTTACAATTCTCTCTTTGTCTTTACATTTTGTCATTTTAATTGTAATATGTCTTGGAGTGAGCCTCTGGGTTCATCTTGACTGGGACCCTCTGTGCTTCTTGGACTTCTATGACTTTTTCCATAACCAAGTTAGGGAAGTTTTCTGTCATTTTTTTCAAACAGGTTTTCTAACCCTTGCTCCTTTTCTTCTCCTTCTGCTATTTCTATGATGTGAATGTTTTTACAGTTCATGTTGTCCTGAAGCTCCCTTAAACTATCTTCATTCTTTCTGAGTCTTCTTTTTTTTTTTTTAGTTGCTCTATCTGGGGTGCTTGGCTTTTTTTTCTCTTTTTTTTACTTTGTTTTCCAACTTGCTGATTTGATGTTTTGCTTCATCGAGTCTGTTTTTAATTCCTTCTTATGTGTTCTTCCTTTCAGATATTGCATTCTTCATTTCCAAATGGTTTTTATTCATAGTTTCTATGTCCTTTTTCATGCTTCTGTAGTTCCCACTAAGTTAGTTCCTTATAGTTCTCAATAAGTTCCTTGAGCATCCTTATAACCATTATTTTTAAAAATATGGAACACTTCACAAATTTGCATGTCAATCTTGTGCAGGGGCCATGCTAGTCTTCTCTGTATCATCACAATTTTAGTATATGTGTTACTGACATGAGCACTACTTCAGTTCTTCTTTAAAGCCTTTTTCTGGTTCATTTTACATCTCAGAAGTGATTAATTTGTGTGTCACTTGCCACGAACATTTCTGGTAGCTCTAACCAAATTCAATCCTGTTTCTTCCATCCCAGAAAGCATATTAGAATGAGAAAAAGAAAGTTTGACATTTTTATATCAATAAGCTCGGAGTTATTTTTATTGATAGTTTCTACATATTTTAAATTTTTTCTATTGGTAACAAATTCCTTGTGACTCACCTCAGAGATGCTAAGGTCCTGCAATCAAAACCATTGTCTGAATACTATAAATTTGAGAGTTTGAGTTTAACTCAAGTGGGAATCACTGAATTACAATTTTATGAATTTATCTCCATATCACTAAAATCCAAAAATTGGGGTTACTTGACAATCTTTCTGGAAGCTCTCACTAAAACTGGAGACCTATCTTAAAACCTTTTTCTGTATCTAAGCCACAGATGGGTCCTGCTGCAACTTTATTTCCACAGCTGCTGGTGTTGGCTTCTCTGGTGCCTGCCTTTATGGATTTTGCTTGCTCTGCCCCTAGATTACATATAACTAGGTATTTCTGACCTTTTGAGATACACTTATTTTGTTGGACATAACCTCTGTTGGCTGTCTAATTTCAAAAATGCCAAATCACTTCATTCCCTATCAGGTGTATCTACCTTGTTTGAATTTCTTAACTCTCAACTCTCTCTTATTATCACCCTGTCTTGTTGTCAATTGTGATGTGGCATATAAGACATGATTGTATTTTCCACACTTTTCTTGACCTCTTCTTTTTCAAATTTTAGAAAAAAGCAGCCTAAAATTCACATTCAGTAACAAAAAGATTATTATGATGATCTTTGCAAGTGTGTCACAATTTTTAGCAGTAAAATATCTGAATATTTTCCATTTATATGTGTGTCATAATTTTTGTCTATAATATATCTGAATATTTTCATCATAAAAGGACATGACTTTTTTAGAGGAAAAAAGGTATATATCTTTACTACATTTTCTTAGAGTGCTAGGAAAGATGGAACAAATATTGTTTTGTAAAATTATATCCCAGAACACTATTTAAAGGTTTATTTTATGGGCAAATAAACCATCTATCTCTGCATTCTTATGAAGAAGCTTCACATTTTCCAATTATTTCTTTTACACATGCATTAATAACACAGAATAATGCAATTTACATTAGGCAGTTTCATAAATATGAAATATTCAGCTTCCACAATGTTGAGTCAACATTGTCAATATAATTATGAGTACTAACTGTACCTCTGCAAAACTTCTGGTATCATGAGTATGTTTCTAAGTGTATGTATGCATGTGCATATACACACACACATGTGTGCATGTCATGAAGAGCCATATTCTTTTATTATCATAAATATTGTTAAAAATTGAAAAGTTATTACTTAAAAGATATTGCTTAATTTTGAAAAAACATTGCTTTCTTGTCTACGTAACACTATGATGACCATTTATGATGGGTTTTGTCCACAAGTCTTAGTTTTATTGATAGTTCTAAGATATTATAAAATTGTTTTAATGGCTTCAAAGAATAACATGTTTTCTGTAGTTTTATTTCTTTTTTAATTTTTATCTTCTAAAATGTTCCTGTGTTTTGGGGCTTTTATTTTAGGTGGATATCTGTAAATAAAAAGTAAAGACTTATAGATCCAAATGTATTTTCAAATAAAGCAAATAGAAAAAATATAATTGAGGTGGTTCTGTTACTATTTAATATTCTCTGTAGTTTGAGTACAATAAAAATCCAGTCAGATCCCAAACCCTAATACCTTCTCAACAATTTTCTATGAAGTAGATGTATTTACAAAAGGAAGTTATTTAAACAAATCTCATGTTGACCACTAACTCCTATAGAAACTTAACCATAGAGCTACAAAAATATGTCATAGTACTGATATTTCAATGAGGTATGTTATAAAATACTATTTCCAATAGTTTCCAGTAAAAACACAGATTTTGATTTAGGATGATAGTTTTTATTTATGATGGTGAGGTAATATCTATAGGAATCATATAAGGTATAGCCTATATAATTATGTACAGTACATGATATTTGATAATCACAATAAACAACTATGTTACTGGTTTATGTATTTACTATACTATGCTTTTATATTATTTTAGAGTGTACTCCTTCTACTTATAAAAAAAGTTTGTTATAAAATAGTATGCATGTTATTCTGATAGTAGCTTCATACATCTTATGTTTACCAAAACTTTAATTTCATCATTTTTCTCTTGTATTTAATTTAATCTTGTGTTGCTTTGTATAGCAACATCTTACGCAGGCTTAGAGCACAAGAGCAATAGGCTATACCACATAGCCTAGGTGTATAATAGGCTATAGCACTGAAGTTTGTATAAGTGCACTCTATGATGTTCACACAATGACAAAATCAATTAAGGATACATTTCTCAAAATGTATCCTTGTCATTAAGCAGCATGTGATTGCACTGCCTTCTGTGCTGGTGGATACCTGTCTCACTGACCCAACTACCCAACTCCTATTCAGGATGTTTCAGTCTGATCGTGTTGTGTAGAGTAGCTGATAGCTGATTAACCTATAAAATACCCATAAAGAAATACTGACAGTCAATCTAATATGCTTGTGCTGTCAAAAGCAGTGGGTATCCAATAGCTTTTCCTTTTTATGAAAAATAGTACTAAAGGCATCAGTTTTTCAAAACTGGGAATTATCTAATCTATTTTTCTGCTCCAATTTGTTTCAAACTCTTATCTTATTCCCACACCTATAGTTTATTCTTCTTTATTTCTATCATTTATTACAAACTTTAGATAAAACATGGTTCAAATAGCATTCTCATTACTTTTATCTAGCTTAAACAGAAAAGACAATACCGTTATATTGCTCCTTTGTTTCTTCCTCTTAAAATAGAATTCAATATACTTTTTTCCAATTTTCACTCAATGTTTTAAAGAAAATAGCATATATGTAATAGTAAATAGTATATATTATATGTATATATGTGTATATATGCATAGATATATTATGTGTTATGTATTTATATATTATATATTTGTGTAACACATAATATATAAAGTGGGTTTTAAAAATTCTTAAACACATTGCAGATTATTACAATCTGAAGATTTAATGTCAAAGTGTTATTCTTTGTAGTATATGAAGTATCTATAAAAGATTTATATGCTTGTGTGTATGAGTACGCTTGTATCTCCAAAGTGTTTTAGAAGTCAAAGTTTTCATGAGAAAATATTTCTTAAAGACAATAGCAATAATTGAACTTCTGAACACAGTGACCATTGTACACCTGTTTCAAGCAAACCAGTTTGAAAAGCGTTTCTTGGAAAAACAACAAAAACCTCACTTTCACTAATGAGTGTTGGGCTAAGCAGATGGTGAGTTAGATGCTTTGTCAATAGATAAGGGAGATGGTAGCAAAAGTGGTAAATATTTCAAAGGAAAAGAGTGGAGTATGATGAATTGGTTCACATGGCTATTAGGATATTATAGACTTCAAAATAAGAATTGCCATCTTTGGTCATGATAGAATAACTTGTACTGGACTAGCTCTTTCACTGAAAACAAGTTTAAAAGTGAATGTATGAAATATAGGAAATGACCCTTTAAATATTATATATCAAGACGGTGACCATTGAGAGATGAGAGTAATGAGAATTAAGTTCCAAATAGTAGCATACGCTTGCTGGATGCAATTATTTTTCACTGTAGTAAAGACACCGAAGGCCAAACTGGGCTGGGAGGTTTCACTGAGCTGAAAAGACAGAACCCGGAGTTCAGAGTCACTGAGGTGGTGGGATTGAGGATAGGAAGCCTCAGTGATGGGACCTATGCAGAGAAGGAACTTCAGAGTCTTCCATAGTCTTTATGGTGTTACCCTTGAGGTGTTTTCTTTTTTCGGGGGGGTGGACAAAAACCAAGGTCTACATTCAGAGGTTGTAGAGACAAGGTCTGGTAACATACATTTACTGGGGGAAAAAATAACTACTATGCTTCTGTAAGTTGAACCACATACAATGCTAGAAAAGAAAGAGTTTTGACCTGCCAGACTGAGGAAATCTCATTGAAAACCTCAGACATTTAGAAGACAACCTATAATGATGATACTAAGTTCCTCTGGCTGCAAATCTAAAGTATGTTGATAAGAGCCAGTTCAGCACTCCCACTGTCAACCTCTTCTGTTATAACTCCATTTATATTTGATTTAAATGTCACTTTCAGCATTACCACTTCCTTTCTTTGGTGCACTTTCATCATTGCTGGCTCATTTCCTCTATCAATTGCCCCTTTTTGGAAAATGTCACAGTTTGTCCATGGGAAACGAAAAGACAACACAATTATGTACTTGGTTATCTGCGTGTGAACTAACATGTGCAGTGACCAGTCACCAATATACTTTGATATAAATGATGTGGTTGGTCACTGAAAATGGTGTGCATCTATCATTTAGTGATTTGCAAACTGAAGAGCTAGGTTTGTACTTTATGCAAGTATTCATAATTAAAACACCTTGGTAACTGACATATTAACTATGTTGTTGAGGGATTGATGTTATCTAACTTGGATAAATGAATTCTTAGTATATTAGACTGTCTTATTAGCTTCTAAAAAAACTTAATTTTTACTGGTAATATATAGCCTTATTCTCAGCATCAATACTAAAGTTTATTCATTTTAATATTAAATTTATTTGAATTTTAGGCTGCTAGAAAGTTGACTATATGTTAGTATATATTTAGTCACTTGTCATTTTCCCAAACTTATTTCTGAGTTAGATCACTCCTGTGATGTGTCACCTGTGTGAAGAGCAACTCTGCAGAGCTACTAGCAGCCTCTTCTAAATTAACAAGAGTAAATATTCATACAATTCCTACTTGCAGCTACTGAATAGAGACTCTTCTCTCGTTCTTAGAAGTAAGCTAATTTTATCATAAAATTGTATCTATATATATTTTT